TAAGAAAAATAAAAATAAAAATTAATTTATTGATTAATAAATATCATATTATAGTATATATATATATATATATATATATATATATATATATATAATATCATAATTAAATCCTTACAAATTTAATTATAAAAAAAATTAGTGGGTCCCATCTTCCTCCCCAAGATGCGTGCAATGCCCATTAAACTCTTCCCCATTAAACTTCCCATGACACCCTTCACAATGCATGATGCATGTCATGGTTCCCATTAAACTCCCCATGACACCCCATTGAAGATGCTCTTAAACTATTTTTTGAAATGAAAAAGTCAACAAACTTTCAGTTTGAATGATTAAAATTATGAATTATTCTTTTTGAATAAAAAAATATTAAATTTTCTTATATTGAATGATCAAGACTCTAATTTTTTTTAAATAAATAAGCCATCGAACTTTTTACTAGTCGGTTAATATAAATTTTTTTTATATTAAAAAGATGTAGGTAATGAATTTTTAATAGTGCAATGATTTATTTTTTAAAAAAATATATAGACACTTGATCAATCAAAATAAAAAAATTTAATGAATTTTTCATTTAAAAAAAAGTTCAATGAATTTTTCATTCAAAAAAATACTACAAGATTTAATTATATTTAATAATTTTTCCCTTCAAAAAATAATTCAAATACTTAATAATTTAAAATGGATATTCTTTTAAATTTTTTGAATTTATAATATCATCAACGTTTTAAATTTTACAAAAAACCAATAAAAAAATGGCATAATTTTGAGGGTACAATCAGATACGGACGCTGTGGAGAGAGGAAAACTCCAAAATCCTAAAAGAAAATCTAGCGGTGTTGACCATTACCAGGCTGTCACTGCAACTGCGCAACACCACACCTTCCATGAACTCCACTACAGACAGCCTGGACCATCCACCGTCCAATCCAATGACTATAAGTAAATACCACTTTAGCCCCTATGCTTTCTTAAAAATTCCATTCTAGTCCTTACACTTTGTTGCATTAACATTGTTGCTTCTTTTAGGTAGCCTGTGGCAAGCAAATATGATTGTACTAGACATGACATAGATGGAATTGGACTGAACTGGACTCGATAGGACAAAAAGGTATGACGAGACAAGGCAAAACTAGGTAAAACAAGTGTATGTCTGATGTTTGTTACGACTAAAACCGGACAAAACATGATATAACTAGACAAGTTGTCTCCATAAGTTATTTGATGATTTTATATATAATATAATACTTATGATTAGCATAAATAAAGTAAATAATTAAATAATTTAATTTATAAACATTTTTATACATTTTCCAATACATAAATACATACATATATAACAATACCAAATTTGAATGAAAAATTTGAGATAGTTGATGGTAGTTCGAAAAAACTAATTTATACAAAAGAGAAATTATGTTTTATCCAGTTTGAAATATCATTATCAATTGGTGAAGGCGGATGAAGATTGTTGCAACAACAATGGTTGTGGAGGTAGACGCATAGGTGATTGGTGGACGATGGTGGCTGTAGAGGACATAGAGATAGGGGATAGTTGTGGTGGTGGAGGTAGTGGTGGCCGATGGTACTAGTGGTGGTGGGGATTGATCAGAGGCCAACGGTGATTGTGGAGGACGTTGAAAATGGTAGATAGTAGTGACGATGATGGTAGACAGTGGTGAAGAAGGTAGTTGTAACCAATGTTCGAAAAAGCTTGCCGCAACAGCCACAATGGCGTGCCATGGCTTATTGCTTATGTCTTACGCCACGTTATGCTCGAGGCACGCCACGACGTAATGCATGGTTTTTGTTACACGACATTCGATTTTACTTATCTTTCTAACGTCTTATTTGTTAGTTTTTAATATGTAATATTATTTAAATTGCTTAGTATCATTGATTTATTGAATAATAGTAGAAAACATACGTTTATGTATGTAATTTTATATATAATATAGATATTTGACGCCATAAATCACGCCTTTAAAACGTTGCGACCTCGCCGTGGCTTACAAGATTTGAGGCTTGACCTCGTCGCCAAGCCACACGTCATGCTATTTAACCTGGTTGTAATCGATGTGGTAGATTGCTGGTGGTGGTGGGCAATGGAAGTGGTAGCCGATGGTGGAGGTGGGGGTGGAGGTAGTGATGACCGATGGTACTAATGGTGGTGTTGATGGGGGATGATGGCCGGTAGCTGACGGTGGTTGTGGAGGTAGAGGCTGTGGAGGTAGAGGCGATGGTGGTTGGTAAATGACGTGAAGATGGTGGATAGTGGTGATGGTGGCAGTTGACAACGGTGGAGGAGATAGTTGTACACAATATAATGGAGGCAGTGGTTATGGTGGAAGTGGTAGTTATAAACGATGTAGTGGAAGCGGTGGTTACGGTGGAGGTAAGGTGGCCCCCAGTGGTAGTGGAGGCGACAATGAATGATAGTGCTAATGGTGGCAGAAATGAATGATAGTGCTAATGGTGACAGAAATGAACGATGGTGGTATGTGGCGGATGATGGTTGTGGAGGAGGTTGTTGTAGTAGAAGAGGAGGTGGATGTGGCCGATGATGGTAGTGGGCGGTGGCGATGGACCGTGGTGGTCCGTAGCATGCAATGGTTGTGGAGGTGGCGATGATGGCTACCGGTGGCCGCTAGTGGTGGCGGGGACTACAACTAACAGTTGTGACCATTAAAACAAACCCATATTAAGGTTATATATATATATATATATATATATATATATATACACACACATACAGAGAGAGAGAGAGAGATACTTGGGATCACGTGAGATCAACCTGTTTTCTTGAGACTACTTTATTACACTTGAAACTTCACAGCAAAATATTGTGAAAGTAACATTCACAATGTTTTTGATGTGAAGGTTAGACTTTTTTTTTTACCTTCACAGCGTTTTGCTGTAAAGTTTCAAGTGTAAAAAAGTGGTCTCACAAAAACATGTTGGTCTCACGTGAACTCAACCCTATATATATACATCTATATATATATATATATAAATGTATATTAAAGGGAGTACATTAGTAATATTTTATTTATGTATCATTATTGTCCCATCTTGTTTAACCTATTTTGGTGTAACAAGAATAAAAAGTATTTTGTCCCACCTTGTCTCTGTTGCATGTTGCATCAAACGTGGGACAATGAGTTTTTGCTCGTCCTATCCTATCCCATGTATTAAATGCAGTCTTAGATATCGCCATTGGGTTCGTTCTTGAGAAGTCTCGTTCACATACCAAAATTCAGAAAGCTTCAAATTTTAACTAGTTTTAATCATAAAGATTGAGCCCGAGTAAGACAATCAATCATTTGAACATAGGTCGAAACGTTCATATATAATATTTCCTAATCTTTTAATTATATAAACTACATTCATAATTGCGTTCTAAGGTAACATTTACGTTTTATAAGCTCATTTATTTTATGATTTAATGATTTATAAACACATGAATATGTTTGATTTCAAAAAAAAATATATATATATAAAGTTCATATGGCCATGCTCACTTGACTCAACTCGAAAAATTTAATCGAACTTCCGAACATAAATCAAACATTTGGTATTATAGGTTGAGTTCTGGTGAGAATATAAATTATGATGAGAAGGGTAAAAACCAATCTCTACTCTTGGATCGATTTTTAATTGAAGATCGACATTAATGAGATACACTCAGATGTATGAGATCAATTTTCGTGAGAAGCGCAATTCGATGAGATGAAATTAAAAGCAATCAATAATTCAAATATTTTTTTTACGTTTCTCATCTTAACTTCTATTTTCACATGATCTTTCGTCCTGGTGTTATAGGGTTCAACTCATTTATAAAATTTAAATCAATAGGAATTCGTACTTAGGGTTTTTTTTGGGTCCAAAATTGTCCTTTCATGCAAAATAATATCTTTTATTATATAATAAATGAGATAGATTATATGAGCATCTATTTATTAATTTTCATTTCATAGAATTGTGTTTTATAATGTATGATTTAATATGGATTTAATATAAATAAATATGCATATAACAGTATCATGTTGAGTTCCGATGAGAAGAGAAGTTATGATGAGAAACGTAAGAAGAGATCTCCATCCTTAGATCAATATTAATTAAATGTCAACACTAATAAGGTGCACCGATATACACCGAATTAATTCTCTTATAAAACTCAATTCATGGATGAATATGAAATTAAAAGTGATCAACGATTCAAATCTTTTCCTACACTTTTCACCATAACTTCTCATCTTCACATGATTATTCGTCTAACATTACCAGTACCAATGAAATATATGATATATTTACAACAAAAAGACGAAAGTCATAATGGCCAGAAGTACAATTTTCAGGAAGAAACAATACTGGGATGGGGGGTAAATCACGTATGATTTTAGCTCTCGACACCAATTATGTGGTGTCTCTGTTGTAGACCTTATTAAATGTAACAACCTACCCCTCCTGCTTCTCATATATTGAAAAATTAGTCCCTAGAAATACCAACCATTTATCCATTCTTATCATAAGAGTTTCGAGCTATTCAAATACGTGATTCATAAATTCCAATGTCATAAATTCATATATCCTTTGGTTTATAGGATTAGAATGAATTTGTAACTCAAATTTCAATCCAACCCATGTTTGCTTTACACATTTAACGGATTCAGGATTGAATTGAAATCCCACAGACATATGATTATATATTTTAGGTATACTAGAAGGGTATTCGTGCAATGCAGCGAGATACATCTCGATTTTAATATTCTATTTTATTCTTTGTCTCTGTCGATGTTACAATACGATTTTATGTGTTTTTAAGAAAAAACAATAATGATTTTATTTTTGAATAAAATATAAATTTGAAAATATCATAAAAATTTGAAGAAAAAAATATGTCAAGATTAATATCAAATCAACTGTTTAAAATGATTTAAAAGTTCTCATTTTAAAAGTTCTTTAATTTATTATTTTTATTATAATTTAATTTAAGTTTAATAACGAAATAATTTATTTTTGATTTAATAATATAACGTATTCTGTTAAAACTTAATGATTATTCTAATTATATTTTAGATTTTTTATATTTAAAATAAAATGTTTATCTTGTATTTGATTATGTTTATCTGCAGTTAGTTACACGAGTTCATATATGAAACTTTAATGAGTTATACTTACACACAATCTACTTGTAATCTTGAGTTTTAAGTAACATGCATTAATAATCAATATTTTATGCATAAAAAGTGGTTTTTAAAGGTTTTTATCAAATGCTTTATAACATAGCATAAATATTTTATTGATTTCGAATGTTGATTTGAAAGTTATTGTATTACTTAAATAAGAAAATAATTAAAACATATGATTTTACATGCGATTACAAAACACGGTCAATATAAAGGTGTGTGTGCAAAAGATCTGACCCGCAACCAAAATGGTATAAATCATATGTAATTTTACACATAATTTTTATATTCTCTTATTTAATAACTGTTTCAATATCTAACAATTTAATGAGGGGAGAAAACATTTCATCATTCATTAATGAAAAAGTAGGAAAACAAAAATAAGCATCATGTTACCAAATCCCCGTGTAAAAGGGCAACTCTCTCGTTTTTTTTCTTTTTTAATTAGTTTTTTTTAATTAAAAAAAAGAGTGAAAAAGAAAAAGAATTCTAATTTAAAAAAATAAAAAGAATTTAATTTACAGGCAAGGAGTGATCGTAGCCGTAATAAGATAAATACCATTTAACAAATTTTCTCAACCCGGTTGGCAAGTCGGTCGTCGGTTTATACCCGAGTTCCCTCTGGGCCAAACTGATATTCGCATGCGTGAACGGGACGTCGCCGTTTCCAGGCATCTCCACCACGTTCTTCTTTGCCTTCTTCTTCAAATTTTTCTCCAGTATGCTCACCAGCGCTGGTACCGTCACCGGCGACGTGTTTCCCAGATTGAATATCCGATACGGTGCTGCACCCTTCTTCTTCCCACCCGACCCGGTGCTCTTACCCGATGTATCCAACGACGCCACACACCCTTTCACTATGTCATCGATGTAAGTAAAATCCCGGGCCAAATCAACCCGGTTTTTGCCCCGGTACACCGTTATTGGTTTCCCCTGTAGAATATTCCGGGTGAAGGAGAAATATGCCATGTCGGGTCGACCCCACGGGCCATAAACCGTGAAAAATCTCAATCCTGTTATTGACAACCCGTAAATATGGTTGTATGTATGTGTGATTGCTTCTCCTGCTTTTTTTGTGGCGGCGTAGAGGGAAGCGGGTTGGTCGGTTCGATCCGATTCGGAAAATGGTGTCTTATCGTTTAACCCGTAGACTGAACTGGAGCTGGCCCATACGATGGCGGGTTGCGGGTCGGCTGACTTGCATTGTTCCAGAAGCGTGACCAGTCCGGCGACGTTGCTGTGGACGTAAGAATGGGGGTTTTCCATGGCGTACCGTACGCCGGCCTGCGCAGCGAGGTGCATCACGTGGGTAAAGGCCACGAGATCGAAGAGTTTTGCTAGGAGGCGTTGGTCGTTGATATCACCGTCGACGACGAAGATGTTGTGGGAATCGAGAAGAGCGCATCGTGCCTTTTTCAACGAAGGGTCATAATAGTCGTTAAAGTTATCAAGGCCAACGACGCCATCGCCGCGTTTTTTTAACGCGAGGGAGACGTGTGTACCGACGAAACCAGCTGCGCCGGTAACGAGCACCGATATCCCATTAGAACGACGGATCTGGGCGGATGAACGGATTTGTTTCTCCCAAACGAGTCCACCGTGAACCCGGGAGTTGGTGTGGTGGAGGTACCGGCTACCGGAATCGACGAAACTCTGGATGCTCATATACGATGCCATAAGGGCTATCAAAAACAAAGCCCAAAGGAACATCGTGCTGGTTGATGTGAAACATCGTTGAATCGCCCTACTCATCGTGTGATGATGTATCTTAATTTTACCTGGGGTTGAAGGAAAGAGTTCCTCCTCCAATGGCGGCATTTTTTGAATGATCGTTCCTCAATCGAATTTCAAATATATACACGTAATTATACAAAATTGAATTGGTACTTATCTGATACAAAATTGAATTGGTACTTATCTGATACAAATTTGAAAACAAACAAACAGAGTAGATATTGTTTTGATTCCCCGAAAATGAAGAATAAAACCCAGATCCCAGAGGGATAGAGATAACAGATGCAGGTAAAATGGCGAAGAAAGCTGTCTGCACCTGCTGAAGGGGATGAAGGAGATGACGCTGATTATATAGTGGCCACCCATATACGCGTGAACGCGTTAAAGGACAGGCCAGCTCAGGGGAGAGAGAAGCTCTTTTGGAGTCAAATTAGATTCAGGGGGACCTACTTGGATATTTTTAAGTTTTTGCTCATCACGTCCCTCTATTTTTGTTTCTCTTATTTTCAGCCCAATAATACCAATTTTCTTTTCATTTAAGGGGTTTGATATGTTTAACACATGCCGGTAGATGATGATAATAATCTTACAAGCGTCGTCTCTCGGTGAATGGTTAACGACTGAATACTAAATACTGGTTATGATGGCTCGTTTTAGTGTCATCAACCATTTGGTATACTTGTTATTTATTTGAGATCGATTGAGACGAAGAGGCAAACATACGTGAGTTAAGAGGTACATAGTACACACTCAGAAATGTTACTCCTATCACCTTAAATTGCCATAAAACGGGGGTTAAGGGGTAGCGCCCCCTTGCAGGTCTCCAAAGGAGTTGAGCCTTGGTTTTCAACATCAGGTATCGGTTGTCGCTAATAAGTCATCAATTGTCGCTAAAAGTAAACTTTCAGCTTATCGCTGAATGCCGACTATTTCTAAAAGTCAGCTATTGTTGAACACGACCTATTGCCGGCCTATCGCTGAAATAATAGGTGCGAAATACAATATTTGGAAAGTGATTTATAAACACGATCTAGAATATTATCCAAGTAATATTAACCATAAAACCCAATTCCCCACACTTCATACTCAAATGTCGGTAAAACCCATACTTTTCCAATGTTTTCAACCTCGATACAAAGTCGTGCTATTTCATTACAGGCATAACAGTAATCAATTTGATTAAATGGAAGAAACATAAAATAATTGAAAAACTGAAAAATTGGATGGAGACACATAAAAGATATTGATAGTGTTCATCGGAGACGTTGAGACGTTGAGACGTGGAGCACCAGTAGAACCAACATGGGCTCGGTGGAGATAATTGTAACACCCTCAAATCTGGAAAAAACGACTAATTTAAAATTTTCGATAATACATCAAATAAATAATATACCTCTCTCTATAAATCAATAAAACATTATCGTAAATAGAAATTCTAGATCTAACATCAACAAATGATAAGCCAAACCTTACACTAGGTCTAGGCTAAGGTCGAGTATTACTAAAATCTAATAATAGTCGTAATCTCTAAATTACGGTAGACGTCCCCAAATAGCTGAATCCTTCTCTTGTCTCTAACTAACACTCATCTCTTCATAGTATCACTAGCACCATTCCCCAATGAGGAACTGATGCACATGTCGAAAAATAAGAAAGGGTAGGCTTGACGCCTAGTGAGATCAAACAATCTTTCATTATTATAATGAAACAGTAAAACTGAAATAGTGCTATTTAAATACCAATTTTCAAAATGAAATATATTAAATATACAAGAAACATCATTTCCAGAACCCACATTTTTCATGATGAAAACTCAATAACTTAATTACCCATTTTATATGAAACAAAAACTCGATACTCACATAACCATGAATAAAGTTTGATGTTTGAATATTGAAAACATGAAGAAAATTCATGTATCCAAAGCAACCAAATAAGAATAATAAACAACATCCGAAACATCAAACCTTGGGTACATTCTGTACCTAAAACAACACGAAAATATGGATAAAATATCATATCCAAACTCACATTTCAATAAGGGGGGAGACCTGATTCCATTGAATGTGATGGAACACATAAGTATGTCACATATCTATGTTATATGAGCTTGACCATGGATCAATGGTCATTAAGTTCAACCACCCAAGATGTACAGCTTAATGACTTCTCAAGTTCAATCGATCTGTAGCTTGAGATATCTAAAGATCCTAGTTAAACTCGTTCAAAAGAAATTACATTATGTTGGTCAATCGCTGATGCCTGACTTAAAGAGCTCACACTATATTGCCTATGAAGACCCAATGCCTATTTTCACGATACAATACTGGAATGTTCATCCCATTTAAACTGACTCCTATGCCTATGGATCAATCGCATTACAATATAAATTACATGACTTTGATAGAATGAGCAACACATTCAAAACATGTAATCCCAAATAAAAATGCGATAAGTGCATATCACTTCCAAAGCTCAACATGGAGCAATTTTAACTTGGACAAATGTCCCCAAAACTCATCTGAGTTAAAATCAAACCAAATAATAGGTGGAGTTGTTTGCAAAAGCTTTCTTTCATATCAATGGAGGTTCATCCATTGAGGTAAAATCACCAAAAATTACCTAGATTCACTTGTTCAATGAGATTCTTCTGCAGAGTTCTTGGATATAAAAATTTGTCTAATTATACTTCTAATAATAACACAGTTTTGATGCAGTTGACTTTGTGTTACAGAGGTGGGGCACCAGAAAAGAAGAGGCAACGATTTAGGTCCACTAGTTACAAGGGTCGGATGAGGGGTGGGTTTAAATGTTGTAATAGAAAAAAATTATAGATATTTCAAAAGAAAATTAGATAAAGGATAAAAACGACCATAAAAGCCATCAACTTAACAAACTCCTTTTAACAGAGTTGGTAGGGACAAAAGCAGCAACAAGTTTCAACTCATGGTAATGAAACCATATTTTCTAAACCACAAGGACGAACGTAGCAACTTCGACAAACCGTGAGGACGAAATCATGGTTTAGTTTAATTATAAATGTAAACAGTTAATACATAGAACAAGTTGAAATAATGTGGAGATTTGTCTTCAAAGGAAAAGTCCAAAGACGTGTCAAGAAATGGTTTTTAACTCGTTATATTGAGTTGTTAATTATGTATGAGAATGACATGATATAATATGTAGCGATTAACGTCGTTGCCATTTGTCCAAAATGTGTTGCATTTGAAAAGACATTTCATTCATCGTTTACTAAACTTAAAACCTTTTGTCCAATAAACGTGGCTTTGGTAGGCCAATTGGCAAATGGGATGGGGTCATCAATTTAACTCATACATATAAAATGTTTTATAAGTACAGTTTACCCAATTGCTTACCGATAGAAGTCAACGCTATGATTTATTTTGATGCGTAAGATTTTAATACATCAAAACATATCGAATGCAACAATTTACTGGGTAAGCGCTTACCTGAGTAAGAGTCGTCATCCTCACTTATCCGGTAAGATTCTTGACCCTTCTCATGTTCATCCGATAAATAAATTTATCCGGTAAGCACTAGTAAGTGTTTAGTAAACGGCCCCTAAGTTGCATTGAGATGCTAACATGTGTACCATTTAATTTAATAAAAATATTATTGATCAAATAATGTATTTAATAAGATTTTAATTGTCAAACTTTTAAGTATGTGAATGACCAGTTTAAGTGGTTACCATGCTGATGTGATAAGTAACTTGAATACCAATTTAATATTTAGTTGTAATGTGGTGAATGGTGTGTATGTTTTTATACAAATTTAGTTTTAAAATATGTTTTACTTTTATTAAAAGGATTATAAATAAAAAGAAAGCATAATCTTGGCCTGTTCATTTTAGAATCCAACTTCCCCATTTTTGCCTCCCTTCCATCTTCCCCGACCTTTTCCATTCATAATTTTGCCAACTTGCGAAAACCATATACAACAACAGTTCATCACATTATCCAGATACATAGTTGTTTAATTACTAATTTTTGACATGGGGACAAAAACATGTGTTTAGCTTTTTTCTTATAAATACAACATAGACTAAGTATAAATTAAAATAGCTTTTTTTAAAACTTGAAATTCATATATGATCCTTCAGAAATACAAAAGGCAATTCATGTTTTATTTGTATGTTTCATACTTTCACTACTATATTCATAAGTATAGAAAACTCTATTTTAATGTGCATCTAAGTAATATATATATATATATTATAAAACATTTGATAAAACTCTTAAAAATCATTCAAATTTTGGATAAACATATAATTCAAAATAATTACAGATAAACATAAACAAATTCTGGATAA